GGGTGGCATTGGTGGGTGGTAGTGGTGGGTGGTATTGGTGGGTGGTAGTGGTGGGTGGTAGTGGTGGGTAGTAGTGGTAGTGGTGGGTGGTAGTGGTAGTTGTGGGTGGTAGTTGTGGGTGGTAGTGGTGGGTGGTAGTGGTGGGTGGTAGTGGTGGGTGGTAGTGGTGGGTGGTAGTGGTGGGTGGTATTGGTGGGTGGTAGTGGTGGGTGGTATTGGTGGGTGGTAGTGGTGGGTGGTAGTGGTCGGTAGTAGTGGTAGTTGTGGGTGGTAGTTGTGGGTGGTATTGGTGGGTGGTAGTGGTGGGTGGTAGTGGTGAGTAGTAGTGGTGGGTGGTAGTGGTAGTGGTGGGTGGTAGTGGTGGGTGGTAGTGGTGGGTGGTATTGGTGGGTGGTAGTGCTGGGTGGTAGTTGTGGGTGGTAGTGGTGGGTGGTAGTGGTGGGTGGTAGTGGTAGTGGTGGGTGGTAGTGGTGGGTGGTAGTGGTAGTGGTGGGTGGTAGTGGTGGGTGGTAGTTGTGGGTGGTAGTGCTGGGTGGTAGTTGTGGGTGGTAGTTGTGGGTGGTAGTGGTGGGTGGTAGTGGTGGGTGGTAGTGGTAGTGGTGGGTGGTAGTGGTGGGTGGTATATGGTGGGTGGTAGTGGTGGGTGGTAGTGGTGGGTGGTGGGTAGTAGTGGTAGTGGTGGGTGGTAGTGGTGGGTGGTAGTGGTAGTTGTGGGTGGTAGTGGTGGGTGGTATTGGTGGGTGGTATTGGTGGGTGGTAGTGGTGGGTGGTAGTGGTGGGTAGTAGTGGTAGTGGTGGGTGGTAGTGGTGGGTGGTTGTGGTGGGTAGTAGTGGAGGGTGGTAGTGGTAGTTTTGGGTGGTAGTGGTGGGTGGTAGTGGTGGGTGGTATATGGTGGGTGGTAGTGGTGGGTGGTAGTGGTGGGTGGCATTGGTGGGTGGTAGTGGTGGGTGGTATTGGTGGGTGGTAGTGGTGGGTGGTAGTGGTGGGTAGTAGTGGTAGTGGTGGGTGGTAGTGGTAGTTGTGGGTGGTAGTTGTGGGTGGTAGTGGTGGGTGGTATTGGTGGGTGGTAGTGGTGGGTGGTAGTGGTGGGTGGTAGTGGTGGGTGGTATTGGTGGGTGGTAGTGGTGGGTGGTATTGGTGGGTGGTAGTGGTGGGTGGTAGTGGTCGGTAGTAGTGGTAGTTGTGGGTGGTAGTTGTGGGTGGTATTGGTGGGTGGTAGTGGTGGGTGGTAGTGGTGAGTAGTAGTGGTGGGTGGTAGTGGTAGTGGTGGGTGGTAGTGGTGGGTGGTAGTGGTGGGTGGTATTGGTGGGTGGTAGTGCTGGGTGGTAGTTGTGGGTGGTAGTGGTGGGTGGTAGTGGTGGGTGGTAGTGGTAGTGGTGGGTGGTAGTGGTGGGTGGTAGTGGTAGTGGTGGGTGGTAGTGGTGGGTGGTAGTGGTGGGTGGTAGTGCTGGGTGGTAGTTGTGGGTGGTAGTGGTGGGTGGTAGTGGTGGGTGGTAGTGGTGGGTGGTAGTGGTGGGTGGTAGTGGTGGGTGGTAGTGGTAGTGGTGGGTGGTAGTGGTGGGTGGTAGTGGTAGTGGTGGGTGGTAGTGGTGGGTGGTAGTGGTGGGTGGTATTGGTGGGTGGTAGTGGTGTGTGGTAGTGGTGGGTGGTAGTGGTGGGTGGTAGTGGTGGGTGGTAGTGGTGGGTGGTATTGGTGGGTGGTAATGGTGGATGCTAGTGGTGGGTGGTGGGTGGTAGTGGTGGGTGGTAGTGGTGGGTGGTAGTGGTGGGTGGTATAAACACTGCACTGTCAATGCTGAGGCTCATCTAATGGCCTGGACTGGCCAGCTCGTAACGCACGTGGCGAGACAGAGGGAGAGAGTGGGGGAGAGACAGACACAGACACAGAGAGAGGGAGACACAGAGAGAGACAGACAGAGAGACACAGAGAGACAGAGAGAGACAGAGACAGAGAGACACAGAGAGAGAGAGAGACAGAGACAGAGAGAGTTGAGTGAGACAGAGAGACAGAGACAGAGGGAGAGACAGAGAGAGACAGAGAGACAGAGAGAGACAGAGACAGAGAGAGAGTTGAGTGAGACAGACGGACAGAGAGAGAGAGACAGAGACAGAGAGAGACAGAGAGACACAGGGAGACAGAGACAGAGAGAGACAGAGACAGAGAGAGACAGAGAGACACAGGGAGAGACAGAGACAGACACAGAGAGAGACAGAAACAGAGAGACAGAGACAGAGGAAGAGACAGAGACAGAGAGAGACAGAGAGACAGATAGAGTGGAGAGAGACAGAGAGAGAGACAGAGAGACACAGAGAGAGACACACAGAGAGAGAGACAGAGAGAGACACAAAGACATAAAGACAGAGAGAGAGTTGAGTGAGACAGAGACACAGAGACAGAGAGACACCGAGACAGAGAGAGACACAGAGACAGAGAAAGACAGAGAGAGAGAGAGTTGAGTGAGACAGAGACACAGAGACACAGAGACAGAGACACAGAGACAGAGAGAGTTGAGTGAGACAGAGAGACAGAGAGAGACACAGAGACACAGAGACAGAGAGAGACACAGAGACAGAGACACAGAGACAGAGAGACAGAGAGAGAGAGAGACACAGAGACAGAGACACAGAGACAGAGAGAGTTGAGTGAGACAGAGACAGAGAGACAGAGAGAGACACAGAGACACAGAGACAGAGAGAGAGTTGAGTAAGAGAGAGAGAGAGAGACAGAGAGACAGAGACACAGAGACAGACAGAGAGAGAGACACAGAGACAGAGAGACAGAGAGAGACACAGAGAAAGACACAGAGACAGAGAGACAGAGAGACAGAGACACAGAGACAGACAGAGAGAGAGAGACACAGAGACAGAGAGACAGAGAGAGACACAGAGAAAGACACAGAGAGAGAGAGAGACAGAGAGAGAGTTGAGTGAGACAGAGAGACAGAGAGAGAGACAGAGAGACACAGAGAGAGACAGAGAGACAGAGAGAGAGAGTTGAGTACGAGAGAGGAGCTCTATGTACTTTAAACAAAGGCAGCATTGACAGAATGAGCTGATGGGTGGTGTTGACGCCGTTTGCTGATCACGTGGCCCTTGAAGATGCTGCAGATGCTGATGATGATGGTAGCATACATACAGTGATGAACACTGAACCCTGTGGGAGCCTTAGTCTGGCTCTGTGAGCCTCAGTGATTAACACTGAACCCTGTGGGAGCCTTAGTCTGGCTCTGTGAGCCTCAGTGATTAACACTGAACCCTGTGGGAGCCTTAGTCTGGCTCTGTGAGCCTCAGTGATTAACACTGAACCCTGTGGGAGTCTTAGTCTGGCTCTGTGAGCCTCAGTGATTAACACTGAACCCTGTGGGAGCCTTAGTCTGGCTCTGTGAGTCTCCCCAGTGATTAACACTGAACCCTATGGGAGCCTCAGTCTGGCTCTGTGAGCCTCAGTGATTGACACTGAACCCTGTGGGAGCCTTAGTCTGGCTCTGTGAGCCTCAGTGATTAACACTGAACCCTGTGGGAGCCTTAGTCTGGCTCTGTGAGCCTCAGTGATTAACACTGAACCCTGTGGGAGCCTTAGTCTGGCTCTGTGAGCCTCAGTGATTAACACTGAACCCTGTGGGAACCTTAGTCTGGCTCTGTGAGCCTCAGTGATTAACACTGAACCCTGTGGGAGCCTTAGTCTGGCTCTGTGAGCCTCAGTGATTAACACTGAACCCTGTGGGAGCCTTAGTCTGGCTCTGTGAGTTTCACTGATTAACACTGAACCCTGTGGGAGCCTTAGTCTGTCTCTGTGAGTCTCCCCAGTGATTAACACTGAACCCTGTGGGAGCCTTAGTCTGGCTCTGTGAGTCTCAGTGATTAACACTGAACCCTGTGGGAGCCTTAGTCTGGCTCTGTGAGTCTCCCCAGTGATTAACACTGAACCATGTGGGAGCCTTAGTCTGGCTCTGTGAGTCTCAGTGATTAACACTGAACCCTGTGGGAGCCTTAGTCTGGCTCTGTGAGTCTCAGTGATTAACACTGAACCCTGTGGGAGTCTTAGTCTGGCTCTGTGAGTCTCCGTGATTAACACTGAACCCTGTGGGAGCCTTAGTCTGGCTCTGTGAGCCTCAGTGATTAACACTGAACCCTGTGGGAGCCTTAGTCTGGCTCTGTGAGCCTCAGTGATTGACACTGAACCCTGTGGGAGCCTTAGTCTGGCTCTGTGAGTCTCACTGATTAACACTGAACCATGTGGGAGCCTTAGTCTGGCTCTGTGAGTCTCAGTGATTAACACTGAACCCTGTGGGAGCCTTAGTCTGGCTCTGTGAGTCTCAGTGATTAACACTGAACCCTGTGGGAGTCTTAGTCTGGCTCTGTGAGTCTCCGTGATTAACACTGAACCCTGTGGGAGCCTTAGTCTGGCTCTGTGAGCCTCAGTGATTAACACTGAACCCTGTGGGAGCCTTAGTCTGACTCTGTGAGCCTCACTGATTAACACTGAACCCTGTGGGAGCCTCAGTCTGGCTCTGTGAGTCTCAGTGATTAACACTGAACCCTGTGGGAGTCTCAGTGATTAACACTGAACCCTGTGGGAGCCTTAGTCTGGCTCTGTGAGTCTCCCCAGTGATTAACACTGAACCCTGTGGGAGCCTTAGTCTGGCTCTGTGAGCCTCAGTGATTAACACTGAACCCTGTGGGAGCCTTAGTGATTAACAGTGAACCCTGTGGGAGCCTTAGTCTGGCTCTGTGAGCCTCAGTGATTGACACTGAACCCTGTGGGAGTCTTAGTCTGGCTCTGTGAGCCTCAGTGATTAACACTGAACCCTGTGGGAGCCTTAGTCTGGCTCTGTGAGTCTCCCCAGTGATTGACACTGAACCCTGTGGGAGCCTCAGTCTGCCTCTGTGAGCCTCAGTGATTAACACTGAACCCTGTGGGAGTCTTAGTCTGGCTCTGTGAGCCTCAGTGATTGACACTGAACCCTGTGGGAGTCTCAGTGTGGACGTCTGGACTCACTCTGTCCCTTGCGGATTTTCCCGTTGTGGGTGAAGTCTCCCGTCTGCTTGTTTCCTACACGCGGGGCAACAGCGATGAACAGGTCACTATACACTATACACTACACTATACACTACACTATACACTACACTATACACTACACTATACACTACACTATACACTACACTGCACTATACACTACTACACTATACACTACTACACTATACACTACACTGCACTATACACTACTACACTATACACTACTACATATACACTACTACACTATACACTACACAATACACTACTACACTATACACTACACTATACACTACTACACTACACTACTACACTATACACTACTACACTATACACTACTACACTATACACTACACTATACACTACACTATACACTACTACACTATACACTACTACATATACACTAATACAATATACACTACACTATACACTACTACACTATACACTACTACACTATACACTACACTATACACCACTACTACACTATACACCACTACTACACTATACACTACACTATACACTACTACACTGTACACTACTACACTGTACACTACTACACTGTACACTACTACACTGTACACCACTACACTACCACTCCCAGACACACCACAACACCCCACAACACACTACCCCATTACACCACTACACTACACCACACACCACTACCCCACTACACCACACTGCACCACAACACACCACAACACAACACTACAACACACACCACTACACCACTACACTACACCACACCACACACCACTACACCACACTACACCACTACACTACACCACAACACACTCAACACTACACCACACTACACCACTACACTACACTACACCACTACACCACACTACACACCACTACACCACAACACACTACACAACCCAACTACACCACACTACACACCACTACACCACAACACACACGACTACACACACCACAACACACCACACCACACTACACACCCCACTACACTACACCACAACACACCACACTACACCACAACACGACCACACTACACCACAACACACCACACTACACCACACTACACACCACTACACCACAACACACCACTACACCACTACACTACACCACACTACACAACCCAACTACACCACACTACACACCACTACACCACAACACACACGACTACACACACCACAACACACCACACCACACTACACACCCCACTACACTACACCACAACACACCACACTACACCACAACACACCACACTACACCACACTACACCACAACACACCACACTACACCACACTACACCACTACACCACACTACACCACACTACACTACACCACTACACCACACTACACCATTACACCACTACACACTACCCCACGACAACACAACACTACACCACTACACTACACCACTACACACTACACTACACCACTACACACCACTACACCACACCACTACACACTACACCACACACTACACCACTACACCACACTACACACCACTACACTACACTACACACACCACTACACAACACCACAACACACCACACTACACACACCACTACACCACTACACTACACCACAACACACCACACTACACCACACTACACCACTACACCACTACACTACAGCACACTAAAGCACACTACACTACACCACTACACCACACCACTACACCACTACACACTACACCACTACACACTACACCACACACCACTACACAACACACTACACCACTACACACTACACCACTACACACTACATCACACACCACTACACCACTACACCACACCACTATACTACACTACACACACCACTACACCACAACAATACACTACACCACACTACACCACAACAATACACTACACCACACTACACCACACTACACACACCACTACACACACCACTACACACTACACCACAACAACACAACACTACACCACTACACACCACTACACACCACACCACACTAAACACCACACTACATCACTACACACTACACTACACACTACACTACACACTACACACTACACTACACACTACACTACACACTACACTACACTATACACTACACTATACACTACACTACACACTACACTATACACTACACACTACACCACACTACACACTACACTACACTACACACTACACTACACACTACACTATACACTACACTACACACTACACTATACACTACACACTACACTACACTACACACTACACTACACACTACACTACACTACACACCACACTACACTACACCACACTACACTACACCACACTACACACCACAACACACAACACACCACATCACTACACACTACACTACACACTACACTACACACTACACTACACACCACACTACACTACACACTACACTACACACTACACTACACACTACACTACACTATACACTACACTATACACTACACTATACTATACACTACACACTACACTACACTACACACTACACTACACTATACACTACACTATACACTACACACTACACTACACACTACACTATACACTAGACTACACTATACACTACACACTACACTACACACTACACTACACTACACACAACACACCACATCACTACACACTACACTACACTATACACTACACTATACACTACACTATAAACTACACTATACACTACACACTACACTACACTACACACTACACTACACACTGCACTACACACTACACTACACTACACACTACACTACACACTACACTATACTACACTATACACTACACACTACACTACACACTACACTACACACTACACTATACACTACACTACACACTACACTACACACTACACTACACACTACACTATACACTACTACACTATACACTACACACGACACTACACTACACACTACACTACACTACACACTACACTACACACTACACTACACTATACACTACTACACACTACACACTACACTACACACTACACTACACTATACACTACACACTACACTACACACTACACTACACTATACACTACACTACACACTACACTACACACTACACTACACACTACACTACACTATACACTACACCACGTGGACTTTACCTTTCTTTTTGTCCTTCGTCGCTTTCCCCTTCGCCCCTCCTCCCCTCCCCTTCCTCCCCTCCTCCTCCTCCTCCTCCTCCTCGTCCACCACCTCCACCTCGTCCACCTCGTCCACCTCGTCCACCTCCTCCTCCTCCTTGCCCTTCTTTCCCACACCACCACCACCACCACCTGCTGTGCCTTTCACCCCCGCGGCGACCGATTTCTTCGGAGCCTTCCCGGCCGCCGCCGCCGCCTTCGTGGTCTTGGTCTTAGTCGCCTTCTCTCTCCGCCGCTCCTCCACCTCCTCCACCTCGTCCACCTCGTCCACCTCCTCCTCCTCCTCCTCCTTGCCCTTCTTACCCACACCACCACCGCCTGCTGTGCCTTTGCCCCCCGCGCCGACCGATTTCTTCGGAGGTTTTCCGGCCGCCGCCGCCGCCTTCGTGGTCTTGGTCTTAGTCGCCTTCTTCCCCCCGGCCGTCTCTCTCCGCCGCTCCTCCTCCACCGCCTCCACCGCCTCCTCCACCGCCTCCTCCTCCTCGGCCACCACCGCCTCGGCCTTCTTCGGAGGCTTCTTGACTCCGCCCGCGGCCGCGGCCGCAGCCGCCTTCGTGTCTCCAGCGGCGCCGGCCCTCTGAGGCGACGGCTTCGGCTTCGTCGGCTTCGCTGTCTTCGCCCGCAGAGACTCCACCACCTCCTCCGCCTCCACCGCCTCCTCCACCGCCTCCTCCTCCGCGGCCACCACCGCCTCAGCCTTCTTCGGAGGCTTCTTGACTCCGCCCGCGGCCGCCGCGGCCGCCTTCGTGTCTCCAGCGGCGCCGGCCCTCTGAGGCGACGGCTTCGGCTTCGTCGGCTTCGTCGGCTTCGCTGTCTTCACCCGCAGAGACTCCACCACCTCCTCCGCCTCCACCTCCTCCGCCTCCACCGCCTCCACCTCCACCTCCGCCTCCTCGGCCACCACCGCCTCGGCCTTCTTCCCCACTCCACCACCGCCACCACCGCCGCCGCCCACCGATTTCTTCGGAGGCTTCCTGGCCCCTGCCACCGTCTTCATCTTCGTCGCCGCCTTCTTCATCGGCGTCTCTCTCGGCCGCTCCTCCACCTCCTCCTCCTCCACCTCCTCCACCTCCACCTCCTCCTGCTGCTGCTGCTGCTGCTGCTTCGTCTTCGCCTTCTTCACCACTTCCCGCCCGGCCCCAACACCCGGACGCCTCGCCGGGTTCTCCGTCTCGTCCCCGGTAGCCCTCGATCCTCCTCCTCCTCCTCCTCCTCCTCCTCCTCCTCGTCCACCTCGTCCATCTCCACCTCCTCCTGAGGTGGTAGCGCCCACCGCCGTCTCCCGGATTCTAAGGCCAATGACCCTGGAGGAGGATGAGGAGGAGGAGGATGAGGAGGAGGATGAGGAGGATGAGGAGGAGGAGGCTGCGGCAGGCTTCTTGTTCCCCGCTAGGCCCGGACTCCTCCCGGCGTCCCGCCCGTAGCCCCCGGCGGCCGACGGCGACCATCGGAGAAGCCACTCCGCTCGCCCCTCAACGCCGCCAACGGAGGCGGAGGAGGAGGCGGATGAGGAGGAGGATGAGGAGGCGGATGAGGAGGAGGAGGCTGCGGCAGGCTTCTTGTTCCCCGCTAGGCCCGGACTCCTCCCGGCGTCCCGCCCGTAGCCGCCGGCGGGGGTCTTCAGCGTCGCCGTTTCCACGGCGACCGCCGCCACCAGGGCCGCCGCCACGGCCGCCATCGCCAGCAGAGCCGCCGCAGCCGCCGCAGCAGCCACCAGGGCGAAGGCGGCGGGGACCGGCCGCGGGCCGAGTCGGCGCGGAGCGAACATCCTGGACTGTGCACTGGTACGTGCGGTGCCACCACTGGCGGTGCTACTGCTACTGTGGTACTACTGGCGGTACTACTGTGGTACTACTACTAGCAGTGCTACTACTACTGTGGTACTACTACTAGCAGTGCTACTACTACTGTGGTACTACTACTAGCGGTGCTACTACTACTACCACTGTGGTACTACTACTACTACTGTGGTACTACTACCAGCGGTACTACTACTACTACTGTGGTACTACTACTAGCGGTACTACTACCAGCGGTACTACTACCACTACTACTGTGGTACTACTACTAGCGGTGCTACTATTACTGAGGTACTACTACTACTACTGTGGTACTACTACTACTACTGTGGTACTACTACTACTACTGTGGTACTACTACTGTGGTACTACTAGCGGTACTACTAGCGGTACTAATAGCGGTACTACTGTGGTACTACTACTAGCGGTACTACTACTGCAGTACTACTACTGTGGTACTACTATTACTGAGGTACTACTGCTACTGTGGTACTACTACTAGCGGTACTACTACTAGCGGTACTACTACAAGCGGTACTACTAGCGGTACTACTATTACTACTGTGGTACTACTACTAGCGGTACTACTACTGTGGTACTACTATTACTGAGGTACTACTGCTACTGTGGTACTACTATTACTGAGGTACTACTACTACTGTAGTACTACTACTAGCGGTACTACTAGCGGTACTACTACTACTAGCGGTACTACTAGCGGTACTACTACTACTACTGTGGTACTACTACTAGCGGTACTACTAGCGGTACTACTACTGTGGTACTACTAGCGGTACTACTAGCGGTACTACTACTAGCGGTACTACTACTGTGGTACTACTACTAGCGGTACTACTACTGTGGTACTACTACTAGCGGTACTACTACTAGCGGTACTACTAGCGGTACTACTACTACTGTGGTACTACTACTACTGTGGTACTACTACTACTAGCGGTACTACTACTACTACTGTGGTACTACTAGCGGTACTACTACTACTACTGTGGTACTACTAGCGGTACTACTACTACTAGCGGTACTACTAGCGGTACTACTAGCGGTACTACTACTACTAGCGGTACTACTACTACTGTGGTACTACTACTACTAGCGGTACTACTAGCGGTACTACTACTACTGTGGTACTACTACTACTAGCGGTACTACTACTACTAGCGGTACTACTAGCGGTACTACTACTACTAGCGGTACTACTACTAGCGGTACTACTAGCGGTACTACTACTACTGTGGTACTACTACTACTAGCGGTACTACTACTAGCGGTACTACTAGCGGTACTACTAGCGGTACTACTACTACTAGCGGTACTACTAGCGGTACTACTACTACTAGCGGTACTACTACTACTGTGGTACTACTACTACTAGCGGTACTACTACTAGCGGTACTACTAGCGGTACTACTAGCGGTACTACTACTACTGTGGTACTACTACTACTGTGGTACTACTACTACTATCGGTACTACTAGCGGTACTACTACTACTACTAGCGGTACTACTACTAGCGGTACTACTACTACTACTACTGTGGTACTACTACTAGCGGTACTACTACTACTACTGTGGTACTACTACTAGCGGTACTACTACTACTAGCGGTACTACTACTACTACTGTGGTACTACTACTAGCGGTACTACTACTACTACTGTGGTACTACTACTAGCGGTACTACTACTACTAGCGGTACTACTACTACTACTGTGGTACTACTACTAGCGGTACTACTACCACTACTACTGTGGTACTACTACTACTACCTGCGGTACTACTACTAGCGGTACTACTACCACTACTACTACCACTACTACTACCACTACTACTGTGGTACTACTACTACTGCGGTACTACTACTACTACTGCGGTACTACTACCACTACTACTACTGGTGGTACAGGTACCTGCGGTACTACTACCACTACCTGCGGTAATACTACTACTACTACTACTGGTACAGGTACCTGCGGTACTACTACCACTACCTGCGGTAATACTACTACTACTACTACTGGTACAGGTACCTGCGGTACTACTACTGCGGTACTACTAGCGGTACTACTACTGGTGCTACTGGTAGCTGGTGGTACTGCTACTACTGGTGCTACTGGTAGCTGCAGTACTACTACTACTGGTGCTACTGGTAGCTGGTGGTACTGCTACTACTGGTGCTACTGGTAGCTGGTGGTACTACCACTACTACTACTGGTGCTACTGGTAGCTGGTGGTACTACCACTACTACTACTGGTGCTACTGGTAGCTGGTGGTACTACCACTACTACTACTGGTGCTACTGGTAGCTGGTGGTACTACTACTACTGGTGCTACTGGTAGCTGCAGTACTACTACTACTGGTGCTACTGGTAGCTGGTGGTACTACTACTACTACTGGTGCTACTGGTAGCTGGTGGTACTACTACTACTGGTACTACTAGTAGCTGGTAGTACTACTCCTGCAACTACTATTGGTGCTACTGGTAGCTGGTGGTTCTACCACTACTACTACTGGTGCTACTGGTAGCTGGTGGTACTACCACTACTACTACTGGTGCTACTGGTAGCTGGTGGTACTACCACTACTACTACTGGTGCTACTGGTAGCTGGTGGTACTACCACTACTACTACTGGTGCTACTGGTAGCTGGTGGTACTGCTACTACTGGTGCTACTGGTAGCTGGTGGTACTACCACTACTACTACTGGTGCTACTGGTAGCTGGTGGTACTACCACTACTACTACTGGTGCTACTGGTAGCTGGTGGTACTACCACTACTACTACTGGTGCTACTGGTAGCTGGTGGTACTACTACTACTGGTACTACTAGTAGCTGGTAGTACTACTCCTGCAACTACTATTGGTGCTACTGGTAGCTGGTGGTACTACTACTGGAGGTACTACTACTACTGGTAGCTGGTGGTACTACTACTACCACTACTACGACTGATACTACCACTACTACTACTGGTACTACTATTGGTGCTACTGGTAGCTGGTGGTACTACTACTGGTACTACTAGTACTGGTACTACTACTACTGCTGCTACTGGTACTACTGGTAGCTGGTGGTACTACTACTACTGCAGGTACTACCACTACTACTACTGGTACTACTTTGTAGCTTGTGGTACTACTACTACTGGAACTACTAGTACTGGTACTACCACTATTACTACTGCTACTACTGCTACTACTACTGCTACTACTGATACTACTGCTGCTGCTGATACTACTACAGATACTACTACTGCTGATACTACTACTACTGATACTACTACTGCTGATACTACTGCTGCTGATACTACTGCTGATACTACTACTGATACTACTACTGATACTACTGCTGCTGCTGATACTACTACTGATACTACTACTACTGCTGCTGTTACTACTACTGCTGATACTACTGCTGCTGATACTACTACTGATACTACTACTGCTGATACTACTGCTGCTGATACTACTACTGATACTACTACTGATACTACTGCTGCTGATACTACTACTGATACTACTACTGATACTACTGCTGCTGATACTACTACTGATACTACTACTGATACTACTGCTGCTGATACTACTACTGATACTACTACTGCTGATACTGCTGCTGATACTACTACTGCTACTACTACTGCTGCTGATACTACTGCTGATACTACTGCTGCTGATACTACTGCTGCTGATACTACTGCTGATACTACAACTACTACAACTACTGCTGCTACTACTGCTGCTGCTGTTACTGCTGCTGTAGTGAATGCCGCTCAGCCGCTGCTGAACAACTTCCAAGACCACGCCCCTTAACCCGTCTCACTCACACCCCCTGAAACATCATCACCCTGAAACATCATCACCCCGTCTCTCTCTCACACCCTGTAACACCATCACCCCGTCTCTCTCTCACACCCTGTAACACCATCACCCCGTCTCACTCACACCCCCTGAAACATCATCACCCTGTATCACCATCACCCCGTCTCACTCACACCCCCTGAAACATCATCACCCTGAAACATCATCACCCCGTCTCTCTCACACACCCTGAAACATCATCACCCCGTCTCTCTCACACACCCTGAAACATCATCACCCCGTCTCTCACACCCCCTATAACATCATCACCCCGTCTCTCTCACACACCCTGTAACATCATCACCCCGTCTCTCTCACACACCCTGTAACACCATCACCC